CCCCACGCACACACACACACACACCAATTCCTTTAGAAACTGATCTCTAGTTTCCGGGAGAATGAAATAGAACTTGCAGAGCTGGTCCATCTTCTGCAGCTCGAGGTAACTTCTTTTCATTCACCACATGCTTCCCTCTGGCCTCTGTCTGCGAATAGAAACAACTCCTCAAGAGAGAATGACTGAACACGATTCCAGTCTCCTGGGCGATATATTTTTTGTCTCTTTTTGCCTCGCCCACTGTGTAACAATAACAGTAAACAAAAAGAACGACACTTTATTAATTAATAAAACGAGTACTTGTGACAGTTCCAAACACTCACTGATATATAAAGTGGTTGTCTTTTAATATTTGAAAAAGGATAGGCCTCATAAATATTATAGGCTATGACATTTTTTGTTCGTTCAAGAAAAACATTTCTTGGACTAACTTGTTGATGCAAGCTGCCGAGGCAGCCTGTTATTATGCTAGCCTGCAGGCTTGAGCTTGGACCTGTGCAAAAATCTGGGTAATCCGGAGCAAACACTGTGACACAAGCAAAATGGCAGCAGTCGACAAAGATTGGACCTAGTGACATGTATTTTCGAGGATTTGCAAAGCTTTTTGCATCATGTCTTCTTCATCTGCATCTAAGACGAAAAAGTTTACTTTCAAAACTGTTCTTGATGGATTACGTGGATCTGGAAGCTCTTCCCAAAATCGGCAGGATACTGAAATCGAAGAGACCTTGCGTAGTGAACATTTTAATGTGACCAAGGTAAAAAAGCAGAGTTGTTGTTGTTGCTTGATGGTCACTCTTCTAAAATGATGTTATAGATAAATACTCTCCGTGCAATTAATACCGAGGTTAATGTCAAAAAGAAATTCGAAATAAGATTAAAGAACAAACTTCATTTTGAAAGCATCGAGTGAAGACTCATACAGTCGAGTCGTCTGCTGACCTGGTCCTGAGTGATTTGAGTTGAGTGCCCGAGTGCGTTTTTTTGCGAGCTCCTGTCCCCTGAATATAATAGAGAGATAATAAATATTGCCCAGAAAGGCTTCTAAATCTAGATTCTAGATTTAGATCTAGACTAGAATAGATCTAGATCTAGATATCCAGTTATAATGTTGGCTTCTCAGATTTCAGTTCATGAGCAAATGCAGTTGGCAACTGAGTTGGTCTGAAGCAGATGGGTGGGGGAATTTTTAGAAATCTATACAGTACAATTTGCTACAGTAGGTTGTAGCCTACAGTTTGATTAAAACTGGGTTGAGAATCTTAAAAAAAGGGTCTACTCAGAACTCCTTTTCCAACTCTGCCAACTGGAATGTCATGGTTGTGCAGCCTCGGTGCACTTTTCCAGTCCACTATGTTGTTGTTGTTGGATAGTACCATTATCATCATTGTCAAATATAGATCTAGAATCTAGATCTAGATTCTAGATCTAGATCTAATCTATAGAACACACCCTGTTTACAGTCTTAATCCTTGGCCAAAGACAGTTTTGGGGGAAAAAAGATGACTGATTTACTAGATCTAGATCTAGATTTAGATCTAGATCTAGATCTAGATCTAGATCCAGATTTTCTTAGTTTGGAATGGAGTAACAACAGTAGCAGAGATAAATAATGTTGACAATTGAAATTGAAGGACTTGTATTTTGAGCTGGGCTTCCTCCCCAGCAAGGGGGACTCTGCCCCCTCCACTCTTCAGCTGAAAGCTGCTTCTGCACTTTTGCTTGAAGGCAGGTTGAAATCTTTCACTTTTGTCAGTTCCCAAAATTTGATTCTGTCCTTTCTTTGTGAGTGTAGGCCTATCATCTTAGAAGATGTTTTTTTGTAAATTATAAAAAAGATTTGAGGGCTGGTTTGTACTCTACCTAGATCTAGATCTATTCTTAGATCTAGATTCTAGAGCTAAGTCACAATGTTCCCTTCCTCTAACCCCAATCCATCCCATGCCCCTTTATCTAGCAATGCCAATCGGGCTTTCCCGCGCGGCGAAAATTTGGTCCCCGTTTACGGGCGATTTTGCGGACCCGGCCGAAGCATTGGTGACTAACTTTGTCAACCTCGGTCTGCTCTATTTCCGAACCAATCCGAATGAAACTCTGCAACCAATCAGAAAATAGGGCAAACTAATGCTATGTGTGGACGTTGAAGTTCGTACACATAAATTAACCTATACTTTTGGTGTCGGGAACACTTTCGTATCGTGTACACCGAAAACTATAAGGAGTTTGAATTTCAACGCCGAGATGGTAATAGATCTATCTATCCTCTATAGTGTGCTCAAATTTGAACGTTCTGTGTCAAGTAGTTGTTTAGACCCGATCATAAATGCACGACTACCCCCTTATCCAAAGCGGCTTCGCACGGAGACCGGCCATTTTCACTTCACTCTCGTTGCAAATGTATGTGACCTACAAATCCCCGCATGACTATTCCGGGCCCGTTCATTGGTCACTTGAAATAGGGCAATGGCGGGCGCGCGCATCAGGTTGTTTTTCTCTCTATTCCCCTTTAAAACCGCAATGGGGGTATTCCGAGGCGAGGTTATCTCGTCTCGGGGTGTTCGTGTCTCAACGGGGAAAAAGAATTTTTAATTGTACGGCATGCTAGATTGAATTACCTTATCTTTTACGGTTGGCATGGTCTAAAGTCATCATAAAAAGCTTTGCAATTATTTAGTCACGCTGCCGACATATATTCTTAAAGATCCCATGTTGTGATAGGATGCTATATATAAAATGGACTCATCCCGACACCCCTTTTTCGCAAAATCATAATATGTACACCACAATTTTAATTATAACAAAATAACTACGAAATTTGCAGTAAATCTGACAGCAGAAATGATTTCTACACTCAAAAACACATCGGGTAGCAAAGTTTCTCTCGAACACTCCAATTAGTTACCGAGATATCGTCGATTTTCTTACAGACTCTGCTACTGCGTGGTCCACTTTTTAGGAGTATTTTCCTATGTGGGTCATCCATATTTTGCCGACCTTTACAACCCCATTACTTTTTATTTATGAACCGATTCTCAAAATTCAAGAAGCATAATTCTTAGACCTGAAAATTCTTTCTTAGGTACCAAAAATAAAGTGAAAATTTAAATTTTCATTGGCATTGCTACTTTATCTTCTTCCAAGATCCTAGGATAAACTTTAAAACATGTCTACTTGTGCTCCCCCCCCCCCCCCCGCCCCCAGTTTGCTGGAATTAAATTTTAATTTATTTTCGAAAGTGCACAGATTTTGGTGCTTGGGGGGAGGGGGGTCGTGTGACATTTTATGATGGCAAAAAAAGCTTCGCACAAACCTACAGTCTAACATGATTTGTCATCTTCAAGGTTATAAAATGTACGGCTTATGTATTATGTCTTTAGAGGCTCTGTGATTTGTGGGGTGAGAAAATGGCACTAAAAAAATAAATGTTGTCATACGCCCAATCTAGCTCTCATCACTTTTAAAAATAAAAATCGTCAGATCAAACTGACTCATGATTGCAATTGTCTTTAGAGTCCTAAGAAATAGACATGTTATAATTTCGTTTTTGCCCATGAAACAAACTAGAAGCTTCCTCTTTCCTTTGCCATGGCTCACTTGACTTCTCACACTTAAAAAAAAAAAGCCTTAAAAAAAGTTTTTGAAATACATGTGTAAATTGTTTCAAACATGATGCTCAAAACCAATTTTCTCATATATATCCAAGTTTAGAGGTAAACTGGATGAAACATTCAGAGATGCTGAAAATAGGATTTTTGTAAGATTAAGATGCTGACAAAATGGGACATTGTCGGTTTTCGATGCTCCCATCCTTGTTCAGACAGATTGCAGAAAGCAATGCCTCAATTGAAACTCCTATTATAGAGTCTAGTAAAATAGTTGCTCAACGTAAAGTGTTAAATGGATTTGATTTGAAGCTGAAAATATTTGAATGACTGAAAAAATAATTTGATGCACTATGTGATAAAAGGATAGTTTACTATTGTGAGCAACACTCAACACATAGTAGCTCTGAAAAGTGTGGTGAGAGGAGATTTGTGGAGGTGATGATTTCTAAAATTTAGTAAAACGGGTCACCCCTTGTCAATGTAAATACTGTGTACTTTTATTTGATGATTTTACCATTGCAATGTCCACAAATTTTGGAATGAATTCTTCTCAGTTTTCTGTCATCATTACTATGTGGTGTTGATACTCTGGAATGTTCTTCTCCAGCAGGTTGATTTGATTTCTCTGTGACTATATTATAGTAGCTCAGCAATGCTGCCATGATATTTGTTTCTGTAAAAGTAAATGTTGAATTACTCTCTAAATGGAAGGACTTCCGTATTGAGCATCAACCCCAATAAATGCAATAAAGAAGAGAACTAACCCTAACCACACCCTTACTTCAAACCCTAACCCTGAACCAACCCCTTTCCCAACCCCTACCCTTACCCCCTCCCCAAACCGTAGGCTACCCGTAACCCTCTATTCTACTCTTGTTTCATTGTGGTCGCTCGTTATGGAATTCCTCCCAAATATTCCATATATTTCTGTCTGACTATATTTTAGAGCTATTTTCCTGTCTTCTATCCAAAGGTTGCTTTTGTTCCATCATTTGTTTAAAAAATCATATTTGATGCTGATAATACTACAATGCGGTTAAAAATGTGTCGCACATCTTAAATATTTTCCTCAACTATGAACATAGACTTCAGCTTTTTGCACAATGACTTTTGTATCGATTTGTATTATTAACAGATATAATGTGTCACCACACGGTGGAATCAGGTGCTCGTCAGAATAATAGAATCGAAGAAACGCATTTTTTTGCCAGTTTGTCCATTTATATCAAATTTTTGTGTTTTGGCTCAACACCTTGATCATGTCCATATAAAAAGACATTTCTTTGTGAATTTTATTCAAAAACATTGATTAAAGGCACAAAATATGTGTAAATTTTCAGTTTCCAAGGACTCTCAAGTGAAAGAGCAGCTACCTTCCCAAAATCTGCCTGCTGTCTTTCATTCATTGTTTATCCATTCTTCATCCTGCTGTATATCTTCCAGTGGGCAGACTTCCTTGATGGTGTTTTCAGCCTGGGCCATCTAAGAAGCTCCTCGTTTTAGACGATTTCCTTTGATTGTCCCAATGGCTTTGTGAAATGGGTGTTACTTAAATCGGCCGCCACTCTCATTTACGCCCTGACCTTAGCCACTTTGTATCTGTTTTCCACTGACATGAGGCCCAATTCATGCCTCATACAGGAGATAACTGGCGTATCCCCGATGCAGCCTAGTATGATGCGCATGGCCTCATTTTGAGCTCGATCCAACTTGTCCGTTTTTTAAATTTTCAAGACCTATTGTCAGTGGATCATTAGGATTTTTATTTTAAATTGTTTGTAGGGAAATAAGGCTTATAAAATATGTCTCGGTCTAAAAGCCACTACTCTGCAACATCAACTGATCCTGTGGTACTTGGATTTGTTCTGATGAAGTTGGTATTGGTATGTGTCAAAGTTTCTAACACCAAACAATTTCTAGTTTTGTTTTATTCGACTTCATGTGTGCCATTCTGTGGGTTGGCATTTTGCTTGGAATTACTTTTGATCATTTAATTTTTGTAGTCATTTACTTTTTCAATTAAGTTATTCATTTCAGTATCTATATAAAGAGTTCCATATATAACTCCCTGAAATTGTATTGCCTAACTGAAAACTTTTTCTTGATATTGCAGACTATACGTCATGGATTTCCTTTTCAACCAACAGCACTTGCATTTGACCCTCTCCAACATTTGTTGGCTGTTGGGAACAGGACGGGCTCCCTTCGGATGTATCCTTTCTATCAGTCTCAGAAGTACTGAGCATATGTGCACTTTGAGTGAACACACTTTCCTAGTAAATACTCTTGTCAAGGAAATAATGAATGTGGCCTCTTTACTGGATATTTTGTTATTTTTGTAACAGTTGTGATCATGGTTGTTGTTGATCCTTTTGTCATCAGAATTTTTGCTCTGAATAAAGGAGAAAATTGAAGAAATCCTGAGGAGTTCATTAAGAGCACACTCACTTCCCAGGTCACTCACTACCCACTTTACTCGACAGTTTTTCATAAAGTGCGCAATTGTAGGTCATTCTTGTCTTTCTATTTTGTTCCTGCCTTTCTTTCTTCCTTTTTTTCCAGCTTTAAATGGTGTGTGTGTGTGTGTGGGGGGGGGGTGTTATTGTATTGATGTGCTTCTCCGCACTTTAAATGCAAAGTCAAACAATTTTTCACTGTGTTTGCAAAAGGAAGAAATGCTGCCACTCTCTAGCAATTGTTATAGGACATATGTCTTCTTTTGTATTTTGTTTACTTGCTTTATGTTTTCTGAGATTTCAATCAAATATTAGTCGGTGGTTGGATGGCACCCATGGCAGGTAATAATACGTTTTATTTCCTTTTGTTGTGTCTGTCTGTCTGTCTTTTTGGCAGCACTTATATATGGCTGTTATTTTATCAAATGCTTCTCTCTAACTCAAACAAAGGTAAGGTGCATTTGGTCTTTTTTGGGGGTTTTTTTTGGCATGCAGATCAGTAGTTTGAAATAGCACACAATATTTTTGTCATTTTAGCTGTGTACAAATGTTGGAAATAGTAAGAAATTATATGTGCTGGAACAAAAATTTTATTATGTGAAATTCTTTTTGACTTTTTTCTCTTCTGAAGTAATTGGTGAATGTAGCTCAGCAAGAGCATTCCATTGGCAATTTTCAACATGTGACATTTTTGTAATTTTTGTTTGTCGTTTTATTTTGTGTGCAATTTGATTTTTCTTAAATTTAGCTCTTGGTAGTCTGCTGTTTTTGTTGTTGTCAGTGATGGGGAATTCTGCTGCTTTGAGGTTATATTTTGCAGCTTTAAGAAGGAAACATTTTCTAGGTTTTGGGTACATTTATCACAGGTTTGAAGGAATATGTTAAGTGACCTTCCTGAAAAAAACAAAAAAACAAAAGAACTTTCCTGGGTTTTTTTCCTCCTTCTTTGTCCGAAAAAGCCTGTCTCAATTCCAACTCTGTCTGTCTCTATAATTGTTTTCACTGTTTGAATAACGGAACCCAGGATCTGTTTTCTGTTTCGGGTTTGGTCGACTGATTGTTCTAGCTTCAACAAGGCAAACGCATCCCTCGTCAAGAGCTGTGCCAGCAAATAGATTGTTGTAGCCCGCTTCCTGCCAATTTGGATCTGTGACAAGTAAACATTTGGAATAAATTTATTCTTTTGTGGACTAGGCGTTGTGACAACCCCC